GCCTGGCGGCCCAGGCAATGATGGGGAGGGCAGAGGCTCTGGGGGCTGCAGTTCAGTCGCCACGGAAGCCTTCCTCCTCCCTCCGGAACCAGCCCGACAGACGAAGTGCCCGCATCTGCCACCGCCCTCCTCTCCCGCCCAGCTCCAGGCGAAGGGGGCGGGCTGCCAGTGGGGGGCCGAGAAAAGCCAGGTAGGAGGATGTACTCCGTGGAGAGCTCCTACCATCAGGTGGACGAGCCCTCCCGGCAGGAGCAGTGCCCCGTTGGAGCAGAGCGGTGGGCGTCCCTCCTTGAGGAAAGGAAGGAAAGGGTGGGTGAGCTTGTGGCTATACGCTTATCTGTGGCCTGGCTTATCAACCTCGGTGCATCTTGTTCCCAACAGGAGTCTGAAGGAAATGGCCTTTCTGCCAAAGAAGGCTTTTCCGTGCCCTGCCAACTGCTGCCATTTCTCCAGCGGGGATCGCGCCGAACATTAAATCCTGCCACGGAACCAGCAGTTCCTCTTGCGATGTGCACATGGAGGTGGAATATCACGTCTGTAGACTTTCTGTGGTCCTGCCTCTTGGCTTTGGGTCAAGGTACTGCCCAGTCTTGGTGACTGTTTTGTTGTTGACAACGGCTCTTAGTTAAAAGTTCCGGGCCAGGTGCCCTAAATTTGAGTGGATTGGAATCTGATTCACTCGCACTCAGCACCAATTACATGGGCCAATACAGTGACTTCAGTATTACTGGCTTCTCTCCCTCTTGGGGCTTACCAAAGTTTTACTTTCCTTTGGTCTGTATCTTTCTCAGCTAATGTGGGAAGAACACCGTTCATTTATGTCTACTGCAATGGATAAGTACTATAGGTCTCTTCATGCAAAAGGCTGGAAAAAGCCCCATAAGAGGACTCTGTCTGGAACAACACTTCTCAGCCTCTAGGCCACTGTTGCCTCATTTGTGAAACAAAGAGGATGAATGACAAGCTCTTTAAGGCTCTTCCAGCTCTAAAATCAAAAGATTATATGAGGCAAGATTATATGAGATTATAAAGTAAAAGATGATTTCTGTTCAATATCAGTTAAATTTCTATAACATGGTAGTTACTGGTGTAGAAACAGATATAAACACAGCTTTTAACTCTTCCAGTATGTTGTTCAGATGAGGGATTTAGCCAATACTTAGTAAGCAGAAAGTCCAAAGAAAAGTGTGAAATTTCTTTCACTGAGGGCAACATCTCTAACTCCCAAATTCCCTGCTAACACACTTGGTGAGATGAGAAAGACACTTCAGTTTGGTAGCAAGGTATCTGGCCAATACAAAGCTTTCTGGATTTTCACATTTGCATGTGGACAAAGGACAGCTGTAAACTTTCCATTCTCTCCAGAAGATCTAATCCTTGTGCATTCCACTTTTTTAAAAAAATCTTTATTGTTGAAAGTATTACATATGGCCGCTTTTTTCCCCCATTGACCTCTCCTAGCCCGCCCTCAACAACCTCCCCCAGGCCCCAGGGTGCATTCCACTTTGTATTCCTTACCCATTTATCCCGGTCACTCCTGCTTTTCCAGAGGCAAGTGGTTACAAGTCCTCCCTGCCTTCTCTCCGTAATGGGATCAGGCAACATGTACCAAGGATGCTAACACTTTTAAGTGGCAGGACCAATTATCCCCTATGTAAGAAGTTGTTTGTACAGCTCTTAAGGAGTCTATAAAATGAAAACAAACAGATGTTTCACATAGAGAAGATAGCAAGTAAAATGCGTTTCTAACACCATGCTCATGAAGTCACCAGAATGTCTAGATTGAATCACCAGAAGGCCAACAAGCATAAACATGAGTCTTGACTTTTCAAGGGATCAAACCGCTGTGGGCAAATGATAAAGCCAAATAAACAGCACTGCAAACTTCTACTCACCCTTCAAAAGGTCTCTACTCATCTCCCCTTCTACTCATCTTGAGTCAAATACTTCCTCCTCCTCCAAGATTTCTATTTACCTGTCTTTCCAGGCAGATTTATAAGTTCATTTTCTAACCTGCCTGTGATGTTTTCAGTTGAGTAGTGAGCATGGTTTTTTTTTATTTGTATGTATGTTTCTTTGCCAAACTGTTATCTCTTTGAAACAGGACCGTGTATTTTCATTTTGTTTCCCAAGTTAGGCCTGGTACATTGTAAGTGCTCAACAAATGTTTGATACCTTTTAAAGCTAATGTTTATTGAGTATTTACTATGTGCCAGGCACTATAGTAAACATTTTGCATGTATCATCTCAGTGGGTCCTCATGAAAAAATATATTATCCTCACTGTGTATGTATGACCCAGAGTAATTAACATATTGTCCAATGTCCCACTGCTGGTGGCAGAGTTGGGATTTGAATTCAATACTTTCTGCCTTCAAGGTCAATGTGATTAATGATTATAATGCCTTCAAACTTGATAAGAAAGGAAAGAATAATACTGTTTCACAATGTAGTTTCTGATTAGTAAGCACTGTTTCTAATTATTTACTCACAAATATAAATATATACAGTGAAGTTTATGGGCTCTGATGCTGCTGTTATTAGCACCACTTTATACCTATATATACCTTTATAATTTTCATATATTATCCCACTTGGTTCTCAAAATAACTCAGTGAGGTAGGCGAGCATATTATTTTCACTTTATAGATTTAGAAACTTAGGTGCAGAATGATAAACTGACTTACAACTTGTTCTTAGGACTGAAAATGTGGCCAGGAGGAAATTAATGGCCCTTCTCTTTTTTTCTCCTGCACTTTGCACTCTGTAAAACACCTTATCAATATGGCTTTGCACTGACTGATATTTGTATATGTGTTTCCCCTTCAGACTGTGTACCTCTAATGGTCAGGTAGGGACTGTTGGTCCAGGAGGCAGCCATGGTGTACAGCACTGGGGTTAGGATCAGAGGACCTGAGTTCCAGTCCTGGCTCTGCTACACATAAGCTGTGTGACATGGGGAGAACGACTTAACCTGCTGTAAAATGGGGGGTGGAGGGGGGTCCTCTACCTACCTTACAGGGTGGCTGTGAGGATTAGATGGGATGTTTTCAAAAATACATGTTAACTATGTGTTGAGCACAGGCAAGGGATTATTTGTGTTTATCTTGGTATCACTGCAACACAGTTCCTTGCTGCTAAGCTTCTCAATAAACACCCATTAGATTGAAGGTGCCCTGGGCCTGGCCTTAGCCAGCCTGCAGCCGCAGCTTCCCCAGTTTTGCCCTGGACTATTTGCAAAGGCAAACTAAGTCTAAGAAGCACAGTCACACCCCAGGCACATGGCTTCTACAAACAGTGACCACAGCTGCACGCCACAGGGAAGTCTTTGCTTATGTACACAATGATAACGACCCCTGTCAATAAAAAGCATAATTTACACAAAGAATTGATTGTATAGTACTTGCCTTTGTGTTATTGCTTTCGATTTTTTTAAAGCACTTTCACATACACATTTCTTTCCTATAAATACAAAGTTTTGCTTGTTTGCTGATAGTCACACCTAATTAGAAGTAGTGAGTTCTAAACTCAAGTTTAAAAAAATATTCAAAGACATATTGAACCATTGAAGAAATTACCTTTGAAATGAGTTAGAACCAGCAAATGGAGTGCAAATTCAGCTGCCATCCTGAATTATCCGATCAATCATTTTTAGTATCTTCATGTTTCATAAGTAATTCCATAAAAGGCTTATTTTGCTTACTTAACTCAGTGATTGTATTTTTAGTTTTCTGATCATAAAAGCAATATGTTAGCCCTGGCCAGTGTGGCTCAGTCGGTTGGAACGTTGTCCCATGCAATGAAAGGTCGTGGGTTCGATCTGGTCAGGACTGAGAATGGGAGGCAGCCAACTGATGTTTCTTTCTCACATCGATGTTTCTCTCCCTCTGCCTTCCTCTCTAAAATCAATAATAAAAAAACACACATATCCTTGGGTGAGGATTAAAAACAAAAGTAATATGTTAAAAAGTAAAACATGCCCACTATGGAAAATAATAATCACAACTGATACCATCACTGAGAGATACTGTTCTCAGATATTAGCATTTTGGTAGAATTCTTCCCCCAGTTTTCTTTGTATGAATTTATGATATAGTTGATTGAAATTATGCTTTAAATTAATTTTGAACATTAATATTTCACTTATAATCATTTTTAATTTATTAAAATTTTCAGAAACCTAATTTTTGCAAAGTAATTTGATATTTGAATGAGTTAGATTGTCTTTCAAAGTAGGTTATAACTTAAGAAAGGAATTCTAAACATTTTAAAATTTTTTATTAATTTTTTTAGAGCGAGAAAGAGAAACATTGATTTGTTGTTCCACTTATTTATGCATTCATTGGTTGCTTCTTGTACATGCCCTGACTAGAGATCGAACCCACAATCTTGGTGTTTCTGGTTGACGCTAACCAACTGAACTACTGGGCCAGGGCTTAAGAAAGAAAATCTTAACTTGGGGAGAGTAGGTTTGTTCTGGAAACTTTACCTTAAAAACATGAACATTCCAGCCTGGTTGGTGTGGCTCAGTGTTGAGTATCGACCTGTGAGCCTGGAGATAAGGGTTCGATTCCCCATCAGGGCACGTGCCCAGGTTGTGGGCTGGATCCCCAGTAGAGGGTGTGCAGGAGGCAGCTGATCAATGATTCTCATAATTGATGTTTATATCTCTCCCTCTCCCTTCCTCTTTCTGAAATAAAATAAAAACATATTTAAAAAATCACAAAAAAACATGAAGACTGCTATCCTATTAGCACTCATTTTCTACCTTTAAAGTGGGCATTATAATATCTATAGAAACCCAAGCTCCTATTTAAGTATCTAGGTTTTTTATCTTTTTAAAGGTTGAGCTCTATTAACCTATTTAGTAAACTACAATTATGTAGGTGCTTGGTAGTTGTTAAGTAATGAATGAAGGAAAAACCATTCTTTGTGAAGCGGCTTTTACCATGCACAGCCAATTTCAACCAGTTAATTAGTTCTGAGCAAGATTGTAGGTGAAAACCTAAATGGCCAGAAACTAAAAAAATGCAGAGAAAGCAGATTAGTGACAAGGGCTCAAATGTCTTCTTTGGGAAGGAATCTTCATTTTATATACCACCAGGAACCTCAGCCCCAAGCATACCAGCCATGCTTATGTGGCAGCTGAGTGTCACCACTGTTCTGTGAGTGACTGACCTCACGAACTAGTAATGGTCAGTCTAAAGGCTGAATGAACTGTTGAGTTAAGAGCCAGATTGATTGCCCTGCAGGTAGAGCAGATTCCCACGTTGCCAGGTAACTTGGTGGAGCTGCCTAGCACAGGTCTCAGAAGGATTTACGAGGTTTTAAATAATATTAGTGCAAGGTGAAGTACAGGGAGCACTTGCTAGTTAAAATTCTGCCACTTTATTTCTTTAGTGTATCATAAGTCCATTGTTTTCTCTGCAGTATCTCTGGCTTGATTGGTTTGTTTTTATGTTTTTTTTTCTATTTAGATGTTAAGTACTATGTTCACTCAACCTGCTGCTGTTTAACACTCTACTATTGGGGTCCTGCCAATGTAACAGCACATACACAAACCTTCAAGAAAGATTTTAACACTGGGAAGGAAGAGAAAGAACTATCACTATTTTCAAACAATATGTAATCCTATCTAATAAAAGAGCAATATGCAAATTGACCATCACTCCAACACACAAAGATGGTCGGTGGGGGAGGGCAGTTGGCGACCATTAAATTTCCTTTGGGCCTTAACCGGTTTGGCTCAGTGGATAGAGCGTCAGCCTGAGGACTCAAGGGTCCCAGGTTCGATTCCGGTCAAGGGCATGTACCTTGGTTGCGGGCATATCCCCAGTAGGGGGTGTGCAGGAGGCAGCTGATCGATGTTTCTCTCTCATTGATGTTTCTAACTCTCTATCCCTCTCCCTTCCTCTCTGTAAAAAATCAATAAAATATATTAAAAATAAATAAATAAATAAATTTCCTTTGGAAAAAATAAAATTAGTTGAATAGTGCCCAAACCTCCCAATTCATGTCCACCTAGTATCTCAGAAAGTGACCTTATTTAGAAATGATGTCTTTGCAGATGAAACTAGTGTAAGGATTGAGATGAGACCTTACTGGATTAGGGTAGGCCCTAAATCCCAGGAGAGTATACTCATAAGTGACAGAAAAGGACACAGGCACAGAGAGAAGGCAATGTGAAAACAGAGAGGGAAACTGGAATGCTGTGTCTATAAGCCAAGGAATGCCGACGACTGCTGGCAGCGCCAGAAGCTAGGGGAGAGGTATGGACGAGTTTCTCCTGTAGAACCTCCAAAAAGGACTCAACCCGCTGACAATGTAATTTCAGACTTCTGGCCTCCAGGACTGTGAGAAAATAAATTTCTATTGTCATAATGTATCCCCCCTGTGGAAATTTGCTATGGTATCCCTAGGAAACTAATACAACACCTGCCACATACCAAACACAAACATAAATTCCAAATATATCAAAGGTAAACAAAAAGCAACGCTATAAATGTATTAGAAGAAAAATTTTTTAAAATGTTTATTTATTGAGGGCGTCGAAAATTTTGAAAAATATTTTAAAAATCCACAGGCTAGAAAAGCTTTACCAAAGCATAAAACCCAGATATCATATAGGAAAGGACTGACAGATTTGCATATATATAGTATATTTTTATTTCAGACAGGAAGAGAGAGAGAAACATCAATGATGAGGGCGAATCATTGATTGGCTGCCTCCTACATGCCCCCTATGGGGGATGAAGCCTGCAACCTGGGCATGTGTACTGACCAGGAATTGAACCATGACTTCCTGGTTTATAGGTCAATGCTCAACCACTGAGCCATGCAGGCCGAGCCAGATATGTGTATATTAAAAACAACACAACAACTGTATAACAAAAGACACTATTAACAAGTGAAAAGACCAGTAACAGTTTTAAAAATATATTTGTAGTATATAGCAGAGCAAGGGTTAATATCCGGAATAGTCAAAGAGATTGTACAAATTATGAAGAAACAAATGACCCAAAAGAATTATTCAGATGTTATATAAACAGGAAATACACAAGCGAAATACAAAAAGACAATAAAAGCTTTATAAATAAGTATTCAAAAGACTGATAATATCAGTATACATAAAGATACAAAGATATAGGCACTTTTTCAATGCTGGTAGAAGATTAAATATATATTACAAGGATATAGTGTCCTAGCTGGTTTGGCTCAGTGGATAGAGTGCTGGCCTGCAGGCTGAAGGGTTACGAGTTTGATTCTTGTCAAGGGCATGTACCTCGGTTGTAGACTCGATCCCTAGCCCCATGTGTCTGTCTCACATAGATGTTTTTCTCTCTCCATCTCTCCCACTCCCTTCCACTCTCTCTAAAAATTAATGGAAAAATATCCTTGAATGAGGATTAACAACAACAAAAAGGATATAGTATTGTTTGTAATAGAAAAAATTATGATCAATCTAAATATCAAGTAATAAAATATTTCATGGTATAGTCAAACTATGGAATACTATATAGATATTAAAAGACCCTGGGGACCAAGCCCACAACCCGGGCATGTGCCCTGACTGGGAATCGAACCGTGACCTCTTGGCTCTTGGTTCCTAGGTCAAAACTCAACCACTGTACCACACAGGCCAGGCCATTGGTTGATTCTTTTTTAAAAAATTTCTTTATTGTTTAAAGTATTACATAAGTCTCCCTTTTCCCCTATTGACCTCTCCCAGGTTCCCCCGCCCCCCGCCGGCCCCCTGTCTGTGTCCATTGGTTATGCTCATATGCATGCATACAAGTCCTTTGGTTGATCTCTTACCCCCTCACCCCCCACCTTCCCTCATAGGTTGGGTTGATTCTTATATGTGCCCTGACCGGGGATCAAACTGGCAACTTTGGCATATCAGATGATGCTTTCACCAACTGAGCAGGGTCATCATATTTTAAAGTGTCAAGATGTCATATAAGCTCTTGGAAAGTAAGGGCTTTGATTTTTCCAAGATTTCCCCCTACTGTAACAGGGCCTAGTTCAGGAGGTTAGCGAGGCAGAAGAGCAAAGCACTGGACTATTGACCTCTCCCCTGCTGTCCCCACCTCCCAGCACATGCTCTCACTCCCCTACTGTCTGTGTCCATTGGTTATGCTCATATGCATGCATACAAGTCCTTTGGTTGATCTCTTACCCCCTCACCCCCCACCTTCCCTCATAGGTTGGGTTGATTCTTGTATGTGCCCTGACCGGGGATCAAACTGGCAACCTTGGCATATCAGATGATGCTTTAAACAACTGAGCAGGGTCATCATATTTTAAGGTGTCAAGATGTCATATAAGCTCTTGGAAAGTAACGGCTTTGATTTTTCCAAGATTTCCCCCTACTGTAACAGGGCCTAGTTCAGGAGGTTAGC